ATTTCTGAAGAGATGAGTAAAGAGCAACAGTCACAGTATCCTACCTGTGCAGGATTACTTTGTAGACAGACAGAGGAAAAAAATCCCCAAATCTTTAATCCTAATGTATTGTCTGGGCATCTGTTATGACTGTGGACCACTGTGGACAGTTTGCACATCCTCAGGCACAAGAGGCATTATGTCTTGAAGTATTAATTGAAGTACTAAGCAGCTTTGTGCTGCTCTTTTATTTTTCTTTCTTTCTTTCTTTCTTTCTTTCTTTCTTTCTTTCTTTCTTTCTTTCTTTCTTTCTTTCCTTCTCTCTCTCTTTTTTTTTTTTTAACAGAAAAACAAGAAAAAACAAGAGAACAGTCATGCCAGTGGCTCTGCGAGGATGCACTTTAAATCATTCACCACCCAGTTAACATGCTCGCAGTTGCAATGCTAACTGGCTGATGTTTAGCACGAATAATGTTCCCATCTCCACCATCTCAGTGAAGCATGGTATTTGCTTATTAGCACAAAACACAAAGCACAGCTGTAGTTTCTTGTGAAAAGGGAGATCACTTTAGTTTTGCAGGTGTTTCATTGGACAAATCTAATTTTTAGGGAAAATTAAAGGACCACCAAAAGTGATCCGTAGTGCTCCAGATGTTGGAAAGCCCTCCCCAATGAGTTTCCAATTTGGGAGGTCTGCATGTCTTGTTTTCCATAAGTAAAGCTAAAGTTAAATCATGTTTATTTTAAGTCTTGCCAATGGAATACAATATGTAATCAAAACCACCTACACAGTGGTGCAAATGTTTGCATACCACATTTTATAACACTGACACATCTCTTACACACTCATGCGAAGTCACGCGCGGCGGATGAACTGTTAATGCGGGGATGCAACATACCTCAAGAATTCCCGCTGCTCACAAATGGATGATAAACTCTCAGGAAGTTTATGTGATTAGTTAATGATTCATGAACCAGCAGTTAATGATCAACTCATACAAATACCTTGCGTTCAACGGGAGGAGGAGGGTTTCAGACGGATGTCACACATCAGCCTCGGTGAAAGCACAACACACAACGGCATTTGTTCCCACAGAAATACGAAGCTGTTTTTTATTACTCCAGTAATCAGATGCAAACATCTGCATGTTGCTACGTGAGAAATGAAATGAAAGTGTAACGAGAAAGAAGCACAGTGACAGGCAAAGTTACTGTAGATTGATGTGGTTTGTGACCCTGTCTGTCACAGTGATGGATCAGGATGTCAGTTCAAGCGAGACCTCTGACCACGCGGCGGGTTCCCTTCAAAGGTCATTTGTTGTTTTGCATGAAAACATTCATGTGGCTTCAAATCTGAAAAAAAAGTGTACAAGCGAGGTTTGCTGTTGTGCAGCTTAATTGGGGGAAATGCACAGATTTAACTCAGCAAATACAGTACAGCCTGTATTTATAGAAAACTTTAGAGGGATATTAATTGTGCAGCACTCTCAGTCCCATGGGTACCAATTCAGGGCGGACAGCAATGATCTATCGCTGCTTTGTCGCTGCCTTTTTTGCACGAGTGGCATGAAAATGTAGTGGAGCTTCTCATCGAGGGTCAGAAGGCAGAATAAAGACCAGACTGTGACGCATTTGTTCCGCTTCTTACTGTCACATTGTTGAGGAGGAGACATTTTCAGCCGTGCAGTAATCTCATCTGAAGGCTGAACCAGCTGAGAATAAAGAGGAGAACAACGCATTAGAGAGCACAAGGAGGAGTATGAACAACTTATGCCAAAGATGTCACGCACGCACATACACACACATACACACACATACACACAAAGGCATTTAGACAAATATGGTTAAATTGCAATTTTTTAAAAGCTGATTTCATTCTAAGCCAAAAGCAGAAATGAGCTTTAAATGCAGATTTAAAAATCATGGTGGATTACAAAATACTCATGTGGTTGGCTTCAGCATAATCTGAACTATGACGAAGAGTGGAAATAATGACTTTAATGTTACAAAAGGCGGTTTGACCGGCGTCATCGCAACAGGTAACAAGAGATTATTTTTATCGTACGGAGTGAATACTGAACTGGACTGAAAGGACTCTTTTAATTTCCTTATTTCGATAGATTTTCATGACCAGTGAAGACATCCATAGGGTTGTAGCATATAATGTTCAGGTGTTTTGTTCAGGCATTGTTTATTGGGAGGCTGATAAAATCTGGAAAAGGACACTGAACTGAAAAGCTTTCTAATCCAGTTTGACAGGCAATGCATCTTTAGGAGAGCTGTCCATCGTTCAGAGGATTACATGCTGTGTGAGAGCAGTTTGGCTGACATCTGACACTCCACTTTGCTTTAAAGATTAGTGTATAGCACTGCTGCAGATTGGTGAATCTGAAGGAGTAACTTGATTGTGTTGCGTTCGGTAACCAGAGGCTACTCTGCTGCAGGACCTCACCTCAGTGGGACTCTTCTCCTCACGACAAAAAACAAGCTTTTAAGATGCAATTATACAGCTACGATTTGAATTTGTTCACTGTTCTACGGGAGGAACGGGTTTCCTGGGGTTCTGCAGCTGTTGTGAGGTAAAGAGGAAGGAGGCAGAGGGAAAAGATTTTCTAAATGCCCAAAATGTGAACTCAATTACAACATTTGTGAATGAGGAGTTGCATCCAGTAAAGATTTGATTAAAATGGCAGCGATTTGCTTGTTTGTGACAGCTGAACAAACTGTGATAACTGACAAAATTCAGTTATGTGAAAGGAAGGTTACATTAAAGCTGATGTGCCAGATGACTGTGGATTTAGAGATTTATGATTAGAAATTACTAGATGAACTTTTGTTTTTGTTGGTAATTTATTACCAAAAATGACGCCGCGAGTACTTACTAAGCAGATTTTTCCAGACAAAACTAGTTGTTTCAAAAGATTACTTTAGAAAAAACAGCACTTAGCTGCTTAAGAACCACACATTTCCCTCAAAGGCAGTTGGAGAGAACTGGCCCTGGGTGAGAAAATAGGCAGCTGTTTGCCAGCCCAGTCAGTATGTGAGTACAGCATTTTGTGCTGCACCCAAATTTACAGTTGAATGAATATTGGTCAAGACAAAGCTTTTTCTTAGTGGTTTTGATTCAAATCCATTTGCTATGCATGCATCAAGTAACAAGAGGTATAAGCTCATAAGCTCAAGCTCAAAACATAATCTTTTTCGACACAAACCTCCTCTGTGTGTGTGTCTCTGTGTTTTTTAATCACAACAAGAATTAGCGGTAAGATACAGTTAATCTGTTTCAAATGTTACTCTAAAGATAGCACGGGGAAAAAATTATTCAAATGATTACTTCTCTGGATGCCGATTTAGGAAAAACCTAACAAGAGAAGTCCTGATGCTGAACTAAATGCATTAGATTTCTATTAGTACAAACATGCATCCTGCTGAATTATGTGTTGTCGCTCCGCATTTCTGCGCCACAAACCACAAAGCGAGGTATTTTTAAAGCATGCTGAGGGAATGTAACCTGATAGTAACCCTTTCCATCTGTGCAGAGATTTCTTCCTACACAACCGGCTTTCAGTGTATCTGACTGATGAGAAGTTTTGAATAACGAGTGAGGGTATTTTCCTACAACATCACTTCAGAAAGTTAATACAATAACTTCAGCTGGCTCTGGTCTGGATAATCAAGAACCTCTTCGTTATTCCACCGCTGTAGCTTGAAGTCTCTCCTGGGACTCACATAGAGCAAGAGCAGGCCGTCGCTGCAAAGTGACACGTTGTAAACCGACCTTGAGCTTACGCAGCTGACAGCACACCCGCCGTAACAATCACACAACAATCATTTAAATCCTGAGCATCTAAAAAAAAGCAACAACTCAGCTTTTACTCTAATTATAATGCTCACTTTTCATGTCTTGTTTTGATTGTTTTCTCCTCTTATGTCTCCCTCTGTGCCTGTTATTCTTACATAAAGCACATTTTTCATCCTATCATGTGATCTTCATCAACAAATTGCGTTTTCAGTTGGCCTAATCTGCCATTAAAGCCTATGTGATGGACTCTTTAAAAGGTAGATTCACGTTTTTTCCAAGTTTGTTTTTAAAGCAATAGTCAGGTTTTGCTTGTTTTAAATCCTCCTGCTTATTCCTCCTTCTGATGGAATACAAAATCCACAGTTCTCGTTCAACGCGAAAATATATTTCAGCGTCTATCTGTGGCTGATGTAATATTTCAGCTGTCTGAGTTCAATTTGTTCATCCGCCGGCCTGTCAGATGATCTCAAGTAACCCTTCATCAACACCACCAATGTTCCAGTATGTTCATTTGAGCTCATTGGAACCTTATTTAGCACCTAATTGCACAGAAGTGGATGTTTTGTTTTGTTTTGTTTTGTTTTGATCAAGTTAGACAATCACTGCTACACTCAGTTTGATCAAAGTTATTTACTTGCTAGTTTAAGCTCTATATAAAAATAATACAATATTTCCAACTCTTTAAATTGTTATATTTGTATCTGCCAATTCCCTGCTGTTTATCCATGCTTTGAACAATGTTTATTCATGCTGTTAGATAATAATTTCAACTGTTAGCCATACTCTTAGGCAACCATTTCAACACTTTATTAACTTTTCACCATTACTCATTTATTTTATTTGTTCATGGACTCCTTGTTGATGACTAGTTCAACTGCTTATCCATTATTTTAATTCAACCGTTCAGCGGTCCTCCCAAACCTCATTAGGTTTGGCGACACCATGTAATGCATTTTTGCCTGTTTACTTATGGTAAAATCTCATTAGAAACAGATTTTTTTTTTATGGAAACAGAGAATATTACTGCACAAAGCAAAGTCTCTCTCATTGGACATATGTCCAACACAAAACCAAACCAAATTCCCCTACTGGTGCTTCCAAATTCTCATGCTGGCGTTTCTGTGTTTCAGGCGATGGGAACCCAAAAGAAAGCAGTCCTTTCATCAACAGCAGCGCAGCCACCGATGCAGAAAAGAGCCAGCAGTACGATGGCAAGAACATGGCTCTGTTTGAGGTGGGGATGGTCCTCAGTCGCCAGTGATGGTGGTGGCTGTGATAGTTATATATGAGCAGGAGATCTGCAGGTCTAATGTAACCATGTGTGTCTGTGTTCATGCTGCAGGAGGAGATGGACACCAGTCCAATGGTCTCCTCTCTGCTCAGTACTCTGGCCAACTACTCCAACTTGCCAACTGGCAGCAAAGAGCACGAAGAGGCCGAGAATAATGAGGAGGGAGCACGTCCATCTAAAAAACCTGTCAAGGTAGAGTCCTGTGTGTGATCCATCCATCCCCACCCTGTAGAAATAAACAAGCAACTTCATTTAGTATTCAGTGTATTGAAGGAAGTAAAAAACCTGACATTCACATCAGAGAGGAAAGGTTACATTTATTCTTAAATAGCCATGTCTCCAAGGTTTGGCCTTAATTAGAAGTTTGAGATCAATCGCTATATGTCAAGGAAAAATGATCAAATAATGGTACAAGATTATAAAATGTTACTGCTGTCATGTGCCTGCTCCTATGTGGAGAGTGTCTTTAAATCGTTTTCAAGTTGCTTATTAACCAAAACTAAAGACTATTCATTTAAATGCAGGTCAACATTTTATGTTATGAACTTAGAAGCTATACATATGTAAAATTTGAAGTTTGTCATGAATATTAAACCAACCAGAAACGATTATGATCGTGCCAAGACAATAACAAAATACCTTTTCCATCCCAATATATGCCAATAAAATGGTTTTATTTAATTTAACTGCCTTTAAAATGTAGTTTTATGAAATGGAAAGAAAAATTAAAACATTTTAGCTCATATATTCAGGTTCAGGCTGCAAGGTGGCTCAGTGGTTAGCACCGTCGCCTCGCAGCTAGAAGGTCATCAGTTCGCATCCCAGTGAGGACACCGGGATCTTTCTGTGTGGAGTCTCCATGTTCTCCCCGTGCAGCGTGAGTTCTTTCCAGGTTCTCCAGCTTCCTCCCACACAGTCCAAAACATGTTGAGGTTAATTGGTGATTCTAAATTGTCCGTAGGTGTCAATGTGAGTGTGCTTGGTTGTCTGTCTCTAAGTGTGGCCCTGTGATAGACTGGTGACCTGTCCAGGGTGTCCCCTGCCTTCGCCCTGAGTCAGCTGGGATAGACTCCAGCCCCCCTGCGACCCTAGTGAGGATTAAGCGGTGTGTAGATAATGGATATTCAGTTTCTCAAGGCATAAAACAGGTGGCATCCTCTTAAATGTAATCCATTAGGCTTTGTCATTAAAAGGGAGTTTGTAAAACAAAGAAATAAAACAGCCACTACAAGGTAAAATGTTAGTGTGCATTTTGTGATGACACAAAGTTTGCAAAGTTTCATGCATTTTTGCAACACTTGGTCTCCTGATAACTTAAATTAGAACTTGTAATAGTCTATTTTCCTTCAACTTCTATTATCATTTATTGATTTGAACTGTCGGTGGTTGTGTTTTACATGTTCTTTTCTTTGTCAGCATTGTATCTATCGATCAACACCACATTTATAAAATAAATTCATTTTAGTGTGCATCTTGGAGTTTGTATTTCAGGCATACACAGAACCCTGTTCTTGCAGCATGGATGTGGGTTGTGCAGCTTTCAACTTAATCCAAACAACAAAATTTTACAAGAGAGAGGAAAAAAACACTTCAGCAGATGAAATGAAAACCAGACTGCACTACAGCAGTGGCATTGTGTGAAATTATTGTCTCTTTTAGCCTATTTTATAGGAGCTTGTAAAAGAAAGAATAAAAGGAAACCTTAAGACAATAAAAGGTGAAAAGTTCTACCCTGAAGTAAATCCAACACGACATGACAGTCCAGGTTTCTGTGTTTTTATTGTTCTGAATGTTAATCCCATGTAATAAATATTTTCACAGAATCTCTCTGATTTTCAGGGAGAATAGTAATGGAGTTGTTGTTTCAGACTTTTTTTTTTTGCTGCTTTAACAGATGTCTGTGGTTTTATTTTATTTTATTTGCTCTGCTTAATCCGGTAATTTTTCATATGAAAGGGTTAACCACATTTCGTGCATCCTATCTTGGCTTTACTCTAGTTTGTCTGCAGTGGTTTACTTTGGCTGTCTAGCACTGCTCAGCCTTAACATGTAACCAGAGGCCATTAGAGGATCCGAACCGGAACAGCACAAGCCCAAACAAAAGCAAAGGACGCAGAACATCTCTGTGCTCTGAAACTCATAAAATAACCGACTATAGCAGGAATTCAAATGTAACGCATATACTTAGCAATAATAGTGATGAACTTGCTTAAAGACAGGTGTTTGTGGGTAGATTTTAGGCTGAAGAAATTCCTTTGTTTGTCATGAGAATAGAGTGCATAGAAATTGTGTTTTATTGCTGACTTCAAAGGATTCAAATATAAAAAAAAAAATTGATGACAAGCAAGCATCATCCTTAACAAAAGGAATCCTATGTCAGTGCAAGACATGAAAGGCCAGCTTCACCAACACTGGGGCAAAAATAATGATTTCCAGTATGTACAGAATGTACCGCTCTAATAGAAGTCAGACCATGGCATGCTCTAATTGTGAACAGACTTGAAGCGTACAATAGAAGACAGCGAGGGCGATACTGTAGCCGAGCTGTTCGTGGAGATTTGCGAAGCAAAGAAGACTAATAAAGATTGTTTTATGATGTGTTTCATGGTTTTCCCTTATAAAATCATCATGTACAAGCTGCACTGTGCGAAAAAAAAAAAAACCCACTGGAAGGTCCTGAGGTTATTCATCTGCAGCCAGTGTGCTCATTAGCTGAAGCTTCGTGACATACGACTGCCCTCAGAGTGTGACTGACTTGGAGTTTTAAATCATTTTCCCACCAAACTTACTTAAGAGCACCAGCATATTGCAGGAAACATGACAACCATAAAAATTCCTTTCAAGTGATGTGTTGATAGAGGTTTTTAAGGCTTTTAAGGAAGGAAGACCAGGGGTAAAAAAAAAAAGAGTTAACACCTAATGTTCTCTAAACCCTTTGAACACTGTAGCCCGCTATACCGGTCTGCACCTTTCACCCCGTCTACCTTGCAGCCTGGTATACGGCGACTTTCTGTTACATTCATTGTCTATCAGTGGGAGTCCCCATGTGTGAACAAGTGATTCAGTCATGAAATAAATCATGCAAACAACAATAATGACTGCATACAGGGTTCTCACCAGCATCATGACAGCGTATCGGCCTGTTACGCTGCTGCCTGAAAACAGTAGGCTGCAAATTGGGCCGATACGTTGTTTTCAAGAGTGCATAACTGGAAAATATTAAACAACAGGCACCAATGGAGTTTCACTACTGTTGTCTTCGCTGCTATTCGTTAGCGTATTCGCCGCTATGCAAAACCTACATCTAAACAGGATGAGAGTAACACCTCAACCATTATTGGAGGACGCAAGGCGTTAAAGCAGAGACAATCAGACACATTTTGTACATCTGCACACGCATTTGTGCTTTTTTTGTGAAATAAATCCTGCAAAAGACAGTCAGAGCAACATTAGGATTTAAGCTGAGTCACCTCAAAGAAACTGCAGTTCTTGCAGTCAGTGTTTCCCCCTGTGGACAAAACACGAGCAGTGACTTTCATCTGCCCGTTCATCTTTCAGTTCCTTTTCGTCACACGCGTCTCCTCATTTAGCGCTCTGCAGGCTTTAAATGAACCCTTCAGACTTCAGAAGGAGGACAAGGACAACTTATTTGCTTCACTTGTTCTGTTTTCTGGTGTTTTTTTAATAGTGTTAGAACCACATTATTGAATTAAACCAAACCAAAATCAGTAGTTACATGTAACAATATGTTTTAGTTTGAGCTGCTCTGGTCAGTCACATATGGTTGGATTTTCTGCTGCACTACCTCAAGATCAGAGTCAAAAGGTTCAAGGTAATCAGATCATAACCTTCCTTTGAAAATGTTCATGTGAAAAGAACATAATCCTTTCTCACATTTGGCTTTTTGTTTCCTGTTTTCCAGGCGCCTCAGTTGGGCACTCTGATGGGAGTTTACTTGCCGTGCATCCAGAACATTTTCGGCGTGATCCTCTTCCTGCGGATGACGTGGATGGTCGGCATCGGAGGCGTCTTCGGCTCATTCATAATCGTCTTCATGTGTTGTTCTACGGTGAGTAAAAGCTGCACATGTTCTTGCTGTTTGCGTATTTGAGGTTTCAACACGGACTCTTTTTTTTGTTTTTTTTGCTTTAACCATAATGGCTGTTCACCGCTCAGAAACAGATGCTTAATTAAAACATGCCTGATAAAAACACAACAGTAGATCTATAAAACATCTGTGCACAACATGAATCAGTGCAACAGCCCAATGGTTAGGGAAAGTGTGATTGCAAGCTGTAATGATACGTAACAGGCTGCATCCATTTGATTCCCATCATGCAGATGTTGAAGGTGACACATTAAATCCTGGCACTAACACCTCAAAATCACCACAACACAGCCTCTGTTCTTTTCTTGTCCTGGCTGAATAAAACTACCACAAAATAGCAAACAGGTGAATGGTGCTCATTGTCAGTTAATGTAGTACGTTTTCATCTCGGGCCATGTGACCCACTCACAGACATGAGTCAGTGTCCTTCACTTCCCCAAGGCCTCACTGTCGGCCCCCCTGCCGCTTTTTCACAACCCCGTAAACCTTCTCTGTTGTCTGCTACTGCGTTTCAGACAATGCTCACAGCAATCTCCATGAGTGCCATTGCAACAAATGGAGTCGTACCAGGTGAGCGGATACCCGACATTATGTGTTAGTGTGTTTGTGTGCGACAGAGCGGCGCCCTGACTCTTCTGTGTGTGTGTGTGTGTGTGTGTGTGTGTGTTTGCGACTCACAGCTGGAGGTTCGTACTACATGATCTCTCGCTCTCTGGGGCCTGAGTTCGGCGGCGCTGTTGGGATCTGCTTCTACCTGGGCACCACGTTTGCAGGTGCCATGTACATTCTTGGCTGCATTGAAATTTTGCTGGTGAGTAGATTTTAATCAGTAAGTAGTTCACTTACGTTGCCCTGCATGTTGGCAGCCCTCAGCCCTTTTCACCTCATGTGTTTTGCAACACCATGACAGAAAAAGCACAGATGCAACTCATAACTAAATATTTAAGGCTGCATTCCATTTAGGTGCGTCAGTTTCAAGGTCTGTTCCTGATCCTTGCATGGAACAGACACTTTATTAACTTAAGTGCCTACACCTGTGACCTTCCTGCAGAACATGTCGCAGTGAAACAAAGCTCATCAGTGCACATCTCCGACAGATCATAATAATGTCACCCTGCTCGTTAAAGTCGCACTTCAAAGAAATAAACTGTTAGAACCAGCTGTGCTACGCCACCCGGACTAAGGATTTGTTAAACGGTTGTTACCGTTTCTTAGAATTTTACTGTGGCTAGTACAGTGAGCTACATAACAGCAGAGGGGAGCGGAGATGCACACTCTCTGATTTAAACCCTGACGAAAAAAGAATTTAACAAAACATTATAAAAGTTTGTTTCTTTGATTTAAAAAAAAAAAAGAAAAAAAAGGTGAGCCTATGTTCATGAATGCATTGATGGAGAAGTTAGTTAGTTTTATTGGAAAGAAACATCCAACAGTCAAACATTACATTTTTGTGAGCTGCTGACTATATGTGGAAGATAAGTAGTAAATATCTTAAAACATGTTTATTAATTTATACACACACACACACACACACACACATATATATAGTGAATGTGATGATCTTATTATTTTTTACAAATGTAATTTTTCTTTAAACATTACAGGTGTCTTTTTTAGCCATTATTTTACATACTTTTTTTTAAACTCTCATTTGGCCTGTATGAATGATTAAATATTATAATCATTTGGTTATAAATCATTTGGTTTCACTTGTTTTCTTGCTAATCAGTCATTTTCATCATTCATCTGTTTATTCACATTATGTAATTGGACCAAAGTTAACTGGACGTTTTTAACTGCCTGACGTCTCAGTCATTGGTATGTGTTTATCTACAGAACCATTCTGGGTATTATTTCTTCCTATTTGTCTTGTTCTAACAAGAAAACATGGAAGTCACAATCTCCGGTCTGTGGATACTCTGCAATTTGTTGTCTCCAAACTACGATCTGAACGGGGCAAGAAAGCATTTAGGTTTTCTGCACCTAATGCTTGGAATAAATTACAATCTTCATCTCAGCTTCAAGCCCTTGTTACACTGAATGAGTTTAAAGTTTGGGTGAAATCATTACGGTCTACCTTGCAAGCGTTATATTATTATTATATTATTATTGTTTTGAATGTGGCTATGCTGCTGCCCTCTTGGCCAGGTCTCCCTTGTAAAGGAGATCTCTAAATAAATGCTAAATAGAAAAAATGTAACACTCGTAATAAAAATGGAAATGTGTTGATAAGTTATTTAAGTCATTAAATCACTTAACTGACAAAAAATGTTTCTCAAAATTTCTCAAAAACAAAGTCAAATACATTCAGCCCTGTAGTTTAAAACACAAATACATATTTATTATTGTAATCCAGAAGAGGCCCGTGTTTGTAGGCGCTACAGTAGAATCAACGTCAAGAAGCATCGGCACCATAAGACAAAAAATCCCACTTTTGTCAGGATCACAACACACAAGTACAAGAAATTGTTTCATTATGTTGAATAATTATCTCATTGCAAGATAATATTTGTAAATTTTACAATGACAAATTGTTGCTATAATGAGACAATAAAGTAAAAATGGGCTATCACTGCTGTAATTCAGAAATACAGCATTTAAATGAACCTGTAACACAAAAGTCTTTCTTCCTTTTGCTTTAGAATACAATGCAATTTTGCACATTGTTTAATTTTCCACATATTTCTTCTACTTCCTTCTCCATCCTCCTTCTTTTCTCTCCACTGCTTCAGATTTATATTGTTCCTCAGGCAGCCATCTTTAAGATCGAGGGCCTGGAGGGGCCAGAGGCAGAGGCGGCTCTGCTCAACAACATGCGCGTTTACGGCACCATCGTTCTGAGCTTCATGGCGCTGGTGGTGTTCGTGGGGGTCAAATATGTCAACAAGCTGGCTCTAGTCTTCTTGGCCTGTGTCATCCTCTCTATTGTGGCTGTTTACGCCGGTGTCATCAAGACCGCCATCGACCCCCCTGTCTTCCCGTAAGCGACTCATTCATTCACTGTCAGAAACATCGGCAGATGTCAGATTTTACTACATGACAGTGATGCCTTTTGCCGACTGTCTCCGCAGCGTCTGCCTCCTTGGAAATCGAACTCTAGTCTCTAAAGGATATGATGTGTGCGCAAAGGTGATCGAAATAGACAACGACACCATCACCACCAAACTGTGGAGATCCTTCTGTGATTCTGAGTTCCTCAATGCCACGTGTGACGACTACTTCACCAACAACAATGTGACAGAGATACAGGGAATCCCGGGGGTCACCAGCGGCATCCTGGCAGGTACATTTTCAACGTAGACCACCTTCTGTCACCCATCAGAACCACGGTGGGCACAGAAGTCAGTGAACTTGTCTCGTTTTGTTTGTGATGGTCTTTCCCACTCTCTTACCCAGAAAACCTGTTTGGTAACTATCTGGAAAAAGGGATGATTCTGGAGAAGCGCGGACTTGCTTCGGATTCAGATCCAGACAGTTCCCCAACAAACTCCAACCGCTACGTCCTGGCTGACATCACCAGCTTCTTCACCCTGCTGGTGGGGATATACTTCCCATCTGTCACAGGTCAGCATCAGATCAGTCCACTGAAGAGACAAAGGGCTCCTCATCTGGTTGAAGGCCCGTCCTTAAAAGTTGCTTTTATCTATATTACTGTGTGGATTCCATTTGATATGTTCGTGGTAGAGAAATACTGATTTATCACCAGACTGTACACTTCACGTCCTGGCCACTGATCAATTCTGCATCTTTCAACTTTTAGTGTTGCTTTGGTTCAATCTCATCACTTCAGTCTATGTCATTGTCATGCACAGCAAACAGCTTTCTTCAGTTAAAGAGCTTTAAAAACTGACTGTAACGTACTGGGGCTGTGCCAAACACCAGGTGGATGAAGAGAACTGACAAACATGTTGGAGCATTTAGCCTCTGTAGAGCCTCATATATTTTTAGGGGTTTGTAGAGACCATTGGACTTACATTCTGGTGGTAAAAACAACTTCAAATGAAGGTTAATGATAATTTTGTGCTTGCTGGATGTGTAAACATGTTTGCTAACAAGTTTTTGTTTTGGGTTTTTTTTTAAGCAAGTTTGCATTTACAGCTTGTTTTTACTGCCCCCATGTGGACAAAAAACTGTCATTTCCACTTTAATGTAAATTAAGCTGAGCAAGTTCTTGGTGTAATTTTGTGAAACCTGCTGACTGATTCACTCAGGCTCACCACTACACTCACTTTGCATGCTCTTTTCTCTGCACTCTAAGAAATGCTGGATATTAACAGTTGTATGACTATTAACAGAAAATTGTAGATGATTCACAAGTGGATTTGTTTGTATGCTTAGAGGTTTTTTAAAAATCCCTCTCATTTTAGCTCAGTATTTTAACAGGAATGTGACACATATGTAGTTTAAAAAAAAAAAGTTTTTATCACATGTATTTCAATTTTTTTTAACAAGAGATAAAAGTTCCCATAGTTGCCATAGGTACATCATTAACTAACATTAACTTTTTTTTGCTTTGTTTTTGTTTTTTCAATTGGAAATCACGTTGTCACAACAGCTGGTGTCTAAAATTATCTATTTAAATAATGCCGACTTGATGTGACAGTGACTAAGTACTCGTCTCACTCCTTTGCCGTCATGTCTGTCGCCACACATCTCACCTAAAAGCTGTGCTCTCACTTTCCCTTTCTGCTTTTCATATAACATTCAACTTCTCCTCAGCATCCACCTGCATATCCTGTCTTTATGTTCCACTAGATGGGAGCTTATAAGATGAATGTTCCCCGCTCCCTGCTGTAGGTTCCTTTAGAGAGTATTCACTTTATTCACATAATAATCTATATCACATGGGTTTCCAATCAGATTCATGGTATGTCGACTAATACCGCATCTCCATAGACTTAATATAAACGTCAGTCTTTATCCCTGATAAAGTAAATGTAGTTCCAGTTTGCATCAAGCGGTATTCATTTAATATTATGTAACTTTAAATTCCTCCGTTGTGTAACACTCACCTCAGCAGATTCAGCATGTTTGCACTGAAAACGGTGATCATGGTGATACTGGTTACCGGTTTACAGAGAACAAACGATGAGGGAGAAATAATCTGAAAGCACAAAGCTTCTCAATATTTCACCTCGTTCCTCTCACAGGCATCATGGCCGGCTCCAACCGCTCCGGAGACCTGCGTGATGCTCAGAAGTCAATCCCCATCGGCACCATTGCAGCCATCACCACCACATCGACTGTGTGTATCCTTCACTGAGCCAAAGCTGATAAAAAATGAATCCAGAAGTGCAGACAGACGAATGTGGCTTTACACCTTTTCCCTGTTATCATTGAAACCGTGTCAAGTATTGCCAGATTCTTAACACTCTTTTCCCAGATATCTCATGTGTGGTGCTGTTTGGTGCTTGTATAGAAGGAGTGGTCCTACGAGATAAGTAAGTCAAATTATGCACATTTGTGTTGCTCTCAAGTATCTAGAAACATTTTGTCTATTTTGCTATTTATCAACTCATATCATTTTCTATTAACCAACCCTAAAATCTTTCCCTTTCAAATGTTGCATGAACACTTGTCTTAAGGTTAACAAGGAACAGCTGGAGCTTCCTTTCTATATCTATTTCTTAATTTACGGACGTTGTGGACTTCCAGATTTCGTGTCTAGATCTAAAAGCAACCGTTTAGTTTATGAGCTTGAGATCACATTTTTAGCCATCACATGCCTACTAAAAAACTCTGCAGCTTAAACCATATGCAAAGAAAAGGTAAATCATGGGCAGTCTCATGATCCAACACATGACAAAGCTGCTTTTTTTCTACCTCTGTCTGAAAGGAACCAAGAATTTTAAGTGTTAAATCTTAATATTGGCGTAACTGTGTGAAAGCAGAAAGCTCAACAGGTGAGTAAAAGGAAAATGCTGCAAACAGTCATTACGTCACAGTTTGTACCTTTAAATTAAGTCATTGCACCTCTATTCAAATCCATATCAGTATGCAACAGTAAGTACAGACACTACTTGCTGGTTTGTTTACAAGGTTGGATTAAGACAGTTTTGTGTTTACGTTCTTCCTTATCTGAGATGTTGATGGTCTGTGAATCACAGAAGAGCTGAGAACAGTGTTACAGTTACAGTGCTAAGATTCAGATGCCTTCATACATGCACTGAACCACTCAAGAACATTAACGTTACCACCTGGCTCTGCAGGTTTGGTGAAGGAGTCAACGGCAACCTGGTGATTGGTACGCTGGCGTGGCCTTCTCCATGGGTCATTGTGTTCGGCTCCTTTTTCTCCACCTGCGGAGCTGGACTTCAGAGTCTGACAGGAGCTCCACGTCTCCTGCAGGCCATCTCAAGGGACGGCATCATCCCTTTTCTTAGAGTGGGTGTTCAGTAGCATCCAAATCCATTTCTTTCTTAAAAGCAGATAATGTGATTTAAATTTTATTTCCATTGCACTTACTTAGTCCTTTTGTGTGGTTGCAGGTGTTTGGTCATGGCAAAGACAACGGGGAGCCTACCTGGGCGCTTCTTCTCACAGCGAGCATCTGTGAGATTGGAATCATTATCGCCTCCCTGGATGCAGTCGCTCCCATCCTCTCCATGTAAGGACAACAGCTGTCATGTTCATTGCTGAGCAGGACCGCTGTAATTAAAGATCTTTCTCACTCTCTACTGACTTCACTTTGTCTTTTTTTCTGTCTTGCCTCATCTGTCCCTGTTTCTTCAGGTTCTTCTTGATGTGCTACATGTTCGTCAATCTTGCCTGCGCTTTGCAGACTCTGCTGAGGACGCCCAACTGGAGGCCTCGTTTCAAGTTCTACCACTGGTGAGTTTGTGTGTCAGAGGTGAAAACTTTCCAAACTAAAGGTGTCCTGTGTGAAAGAGCAAAAACTACATTTAAATGAAGTGTTACTCATCAGAATGCAGCGTCTGTTCTGAAGGCCTAACAAACGTGTTTCTTTCACTCTAAAGCATATTTGCAAATCAGGTTTTTCAAAGACATTGTCAATCCTGGACCGATCCTAACATATGATGCATCGTATAAATGTGTTGCCTGCGCTTGATCTACTGGGAAGTTTATTAGGTGCTGGAGTGTGTGTGGGTGGCCCTGCCTATTTGGAGCGTTTTGGCTTCCTGGGCTGTTAAAGGTCCAACTCACTGCGGCTCCATTTGGTTCAGTTTGCCATGCCTTACAACACCTCTCACTACAACCATACGTCCACAGATAAACCACTGGTGCCACTAATTAACAGACACCATATGCTTTATTCTTTAATAGATGCTCGCTGGCATTTTTGCATATCTTTTCCTATTTTTGTTAGTAAAGGCCTATTTGGTGGGTGATGACGGTTTGGAGGCTTGTCTCAGCACTGTGAATGAAATAACGTACTATTTACTCCTTGCTGTTTGCATTATGATTAGTAGTAAACATTTGCTTTCTTTTCATGGCCATAAGTGAATTCTTACATGAACAGATTTCTTGTCAGTCAAAAGCAAGATTTGCAGATGTTTATGATTTTCTCAAGTTTTGGTACTCAAATGTGCACGAGCTGTAATGTCACGTAGCAGCTGATCAAACTGTGACACAACTTGACATCCACTTTCTTTTTAATGTCTTATTTCACTTAGATATGTCCCATTCCTTCTTTTTGTACCATGACAAACCCTTCCAAAGTCACTGACGCATGCACAAAAGCTCAGGTCAGTCTTGGGTTGGAGATTGAAATTCATCGATTGATACCTAACAGCTTACAGTTCTCTTCCTTACTGCCTTTGCTGGCACATTGCTGCAGAGTCATGTAATAAAAAATATATATATATAAACATTACATGAATAATACCAAACATGCTTTTGAGTCATGATTATTTAATGGTACTTAAGATTTGAAGAAGGATTTGAACTCTTTGCTTACAGACGTACTGCCTTGCCTGCATTGACACAAACAGCAGGCAGCTATAAGATGCTGTGTTCACCTGAATCACTATGAGAAGCTGAAACTTCTTTGTCTGTCTTCCAGGATGAGTTTAGTGGCATCAGTCTAAATACTAAACTTCCTCTTTACAAAGTGTCGTCATTGTTGTGTTTCAACCATTCGTGTGAAACTGGCAGGAATTAGACCAAACATGTGGCCGTCCTGTCCCCCCACAGGGCTCTGTCTTTCCTGGGTATGAGTCTGTGCCTGTCGCTCATGTTCATCTGCTCCTGGTATTACGCCATAGTGGCCATGGGCATTGCCACCTGCATCTACAAATACATTGAGTTCTGTGGGTGAGTAATTATGGCAGACAGGACTTTTACTAGAGTTGTCTTTGTGAAAAGCCATACAGTCATGGGTCGTGATACTCTGTAAACTAACCCATTAATCTGCTGTGAGACAGGGCTGAGAAGGAGTGGGGTGATGGGATTCGTGGGATCTCGCTCAGCGCTGCTCGCTTTGCTCTGATGAGGCTGGAGGAAGGCCCGCCACACACCAAGAACTGGAGGTCAGTTTAGTCCAACTAAATGCTTTAAAGCGCTCGTTTTGAGTTATTATATTTTATTATAATATTTATTATAATATTTGATATATATATTTCTTCTTTTTCTTTTTTTTAATGCTGAAAAGTTGGTTTTTGCTTGCGGATTTGTCACTAACTTGTTTGGCTGCTTTGTCTGTTGTCAGGCCTCAAATCCTGGTTCTGGTCAGTGTGGATGCTGAGCAGAATGTGGAGCAGCCTCGTCTGCTCTCTCTGACCAATCAGCTAAAAGCAGGGAAAGGCCTGACCATCGTCGGCACATCGGTTCAAGGAACCTTCCTTGACAATTATACTGAAGCCCAGAGGGCAGATCAGGTCTGTAAAACACATCTGAACTTGTGGCGCATACACAGTGGATTTATGTCACCCAACTTTACTGCACGTCCAACAGACATTTTAAATGACTGCCCTTCTCTCTCTGCGTCTTTGCAGTCTTTACGCAAGCTGATGGAGGCAGAAAAGGTGAAGGGCTTCTCTCAGGTGGTCATCTCCTCCAACCTGAGAGATGGGACGTCCCATCTGATCCAGGTTGGAGGACTCGGAGGTCTGAAGCACAACACTGTGATGGTCAGCTGGCCCCGTAACTGGAAACAGCCCGAGTGCCACCAGCAATTTAGAAACTTCATTGGTACGTCTCCTGGTGAAATACAGGAAAAGATATCTTAGGTGTTTGTGCCTGTATGCTGTCACCCTTTATTTGATCTCTGATGGCTTTCGATTTCTTTATAGAATAGTTAATCAATAACACAAATCAGTAATTAGAAGATGTTGAGCTTTTGTGGCAATAAATGTTAAGTTTGCATTTGCAGAACAGCTTAGCAAATAATTGTCTTTTAAGCGTAACCCTGAGGTTAATATCTCAGTCAAATCTTCAAAGTTTTTGGCAGTAACTTTTATATGAATCTTTTACGAGGTAGTTTTAGGTAGTTTTTGATGCCTACAGGCCCTCAGGAGAGTAGCATTAAATAAAGGGGCCTTTTAACTATAAGATTTTAGACTGTTTGAGATAAACGTTGCAACATCTGTGGTTTTCAGTCAGTGGTGTCCACCAATAGCCAGCTGGGTGCTTTGGCAACTGCTGTGATCCACATTTACAAGCCAGTCAATCATAATACAACACAAAATGCAAATACACTGACCAGTGGGACAAGATTTTATAAGATTTTGCACAGTGTGGCGTACAGCTATAGACGGATAGATATCTTTACTATCTCCCAGAGAAATTTGTTTTCACAGAACACTGTGTCATGCTTGCCTCAAGAAATACACTCAAGGTACATATTTGCACAAAGTCTAATGGTGTCCTACAGTCAATGACATAAATTCACTTATTTGAAGCCTAACCAATATTGTCTTACCATATGTTGTATAAAGAATACAAATTTGCAGAAGCCATGTTTTAGCTCATTCAGGAACAATGCTATCATTACATAGAGAGTGGATTTTTTCATTTTTAGCTGTAGATGCATTCTGCACATCTTGACCATGATTCTCTACACTAAACTTTAAAGTATTCCGGTTAAAACAGAATATTAGTTTGTATTAGTTGATAAGCAGTCATCATATTTTTCACCCTGATATCAATATCAGTGTCAGCCTCAATAATCCAAAATAGATTTGGGAGAAAAGTGATTATTTCACTAAACGTTTCCTTAATACTGTATAATGAAACTGATTTTTAAGAAGTCAGGTAACCCTTTTTCAGGCCGTTTGTTATCTCATATTTCTTCTGTCCCTTTGCAGAGGTAGTTAGAGAGACAACTATAGCCAGTCTGGCCTTGTTGGTTCCTAAGAACATCTCCAGCTATCCATCCAATGGAGAGCGCTTCACCGAAGGCCACATAGATGTGTGGTGGATCGTCCACGATGGAGGCATGCTGATGCTGCTGCCCTTCCTGCTGCGACAGCACAAGGTAGGAAACGAGACACTGTATTTACAAAGTTCAGTCTCACTTTGTTCAGAGAAACTCTTGCAGGACTTCATGTTTTGTGCCGCAGGTGTGGAGAAAGTGCAAGATGCGCATTTTCACTGTAGCTCAGATGGATGACAACAGCATCCAGATGAAGAAAGACCTCCTCATCTTCCTCTATCACCTGCGCATCGACGCTGAGGTGGAAGTGGTGGAAATGGTGAGAGATTTGTGTGGCAGATAATCATGACAGGTCACAAACATCCTGCAAAGAGAAGGTGTTAGAAGAAATAGTGTTCTGTTCTGAGCAAGCCAGTCTTTTGTCCAAAGACCAAAACATATTCATTATTACTATATGATGCTGTGTTTGTACTAGACATCCACATGATACACTGGACTTTTTTCTTCCTTCAAAGCATGACGGTGATATCTCAGCCTATACCTACGAGAAGACTCTGATAATGGAACAACGTTCACAGATCCTCAAACAGATGCATCTGACCAAGAATGAGATGGAGAGAGAGGTAAACCAGCAAAGTCTATATCATGCTGATGTTTTTATTATCACTCTGTGCACTTCAAATATTTGCAGAGTGGATTCATGTGTTTCCTCTCTATCACTACAGATTCAGAGCATTACAGATTCATCCCGTGGGTCCATCCGCCGTAAAAACCCATCTGCCTTGCGGCCCCAGCATAGCATTGAGGAGGGAGCAAGCGTGGCAGAAAAACCAGAGGAGGAGGTAAAGCTGCAAAGGCCCCTGTAGGAGCAAAACGTGACACTTACAATATTTATGTCCTCGCTTCTTCCACGCATCTTTTCTCCGGCTTCTGTTTATACTATTACGTGACAGGCCTGCTCCTTCAGCAGCTATCACAGCAGTGTTTCACTCTTTCCAGTGGGAGCTCAGTGATTTTTCCCCCTGGCCGCTGCCTCCCAGAGGTTCACCTTTACTGACAGGTGTCTCTTTTCTCTCCTTCACCCTGTCGCACTGTCATGTCGCGGTGTCCCTCTCTTAGTCTGTGGCTGTCTCCAACCCAAAACAGGTGCAGCTGATCCAGAGCAAGAATGCCTCCACACCGACCAGCCCCACAAGCCCCACGTCCCCTGCTGCACCCGCGGGGGGAGCTGCCACCTGGACCGACAGCAAGGGCCCAGATAAGGGGAAGACCCTTTCGGCAGCGACCCCACAGCAGGGCAAAGACCTCTTCAACATGAAGCCGTGAGTGACCCGGCTCAGCACGCCGCACGGAAAGCAGACATCACACACAACATACACATGAGGACGTGGGTCACAATATGTGTGAATATCGACCCATGTTCTGGGGCTGTAAACGGAGATGCGTTGTTCTGTGTGACAAACTTTGAACTAAAAGGCAGTAGAATGAAAAAAGAATAATTTCTAAGCTCTTGTTCTTTGTGTGTAGAAGATAAAGACATGGTAGCATTATATTTCTATTTCATTTGGGCTGGGTACATTTTTTTTGTTTAACATACTCGGCCCAAAAAAATTGACCTGTGCAAGCAACCACAGATTGTAAACAGTGTTTTGAGAGCAGCATTATAATTTGTATCCAGATAATGATAACATGATAGTGAACTGAGCATAACAACAAAACATGCTGGAATAATAAAGTCAGTGCATCAATGCAGTGGCCGAACAAGCACATTTGCTGAGTTTCGAACAAAAGTGAATGAAGATCACACCAAAACTAAACTTATACGCAGGAAATATAATGTGACCAAGACTTTACTGCTGTCCTCTGCAGCTCCATCTCGAGTCACCATAGATTCTAAACCGTGGTCGATTTTGGGTCATTGAGTCACATGCATAGACTTTGATTTAACCCTCTAAAGTCCAAGTAGTTTCTGGGCGTTTTACTGCTCCTGTCTCATTTTTACTCATTACTGGCTTATTTCTTACTGCAATATAAAGTCTTGCACCTCTATGGAAACAGCACGAACATGTTGAGACTGCAGAAATGTGTTTGGTGTGTCATGACGCAGATATAATAGGTTGAATCATGAAAAGTAGAACAAAGGATATATTTCAATTTTATTCTCAGATTTGGTTCATTTTACCAACAAAGCTATACATGATTCATTTTTTGTTTGTTTGCTGTTTGGAAGTTTGGAATTTGGCATTTTTTTGGCTATGATAAACAATTTAAATATTTATTTCTTATACGTTATTTCTTTTAGAAGATAGCGTACCTATCAAACCCACTGGTTGGTTTGGGGGTTCAAAAAAACTAAACCTTAACCAAATATTCTGCTTCATTACTAACGATAAAGAAACCAATAATTCACCAGTAAATGCAGCCCACTGTGTGAGCGCATCCTCTATGTAACTCTTACACATTACTGCTTTCTTCCAAACATGCTGCAGGGAATGGGAGAACTTGTAAGTATCAGCATTTTCTACATGTTGAGTGAGTTGAGCAGCTAAAGGGCTGATTGGTGAATCAAATTCACCTCGTGTGACCTGATGTTTCTCACACCAGGAACCAGACTGATGTCAGGCGCATGCACACAGCGATGCGGCTCAACGAGGTCATCATAAAGAAGTCCAAGGAGGCCAAACTTGTCCTGCTCAACATGCCTGGACCACCAAAGAACCGTGTGGGCAACGAAAACTGTATCCTTCATCTGTTCATACTCCTCCTGATTTGTCTTTGTGTGGTAGTTTGGATCATTGTGGTCCTACAAGAGGATATTCAACAAGGCAGCATAAACACATAAATATGTTAAGGTAAGAGGAGATAAAACTATGTTCAATCTGAAGGAAATTTCCACAAAAAACAAAATTCCATAACATGACAAATGCATTGCTTAGCTGAAAAGCAGTAAGATATCAGTATGATATGAAAGATTCAGGTGATAAAGATGAAGAAAAACTGCAACATAAGAACAGGGATTAAGCTATTTGTTATATATTAGAATTGAAACCAGTTATAGTACGAGTGATACACGAACACTTAAATGCCTTGTTCCTGATTTGACTGCTTGAATTGAATTTAATGCAGCAGAACCAAAAATATCTTTGTGGTCAAAACTGCACGTTCATTAAGAACGATGCAACTCGACCACCAGCACTTCAGTTCTCTACTATGTGTACAGTTTAGGTCAGTGGTTTACAGCCGAAGCCACTCCAAAGGATTAAACATGTATTTAATCCCAGTGATAAATGCTGGATGATATTGATAAATAATAGACAACTGTATTTCTTTAACCCTAATTAGTTTTTTAAATGAAACAAAACTCCTCTCTCATCTGCAACATGTGACAAGATGCTGTCACTTAACACAGCTTTTTGTGAAAGGCCTCACAAACCAAACCACAAACCAAGTTGGGAGCTTAAAAATAACTCCATACACTTATTTTATGTTGTTTTTGTGTAAAATCTGAAATGCAAAAAGTAAAAAACCCACAAGTGTAAAATAAATGTAGTGGCTGAAGAAGTAGAAAAAGTAAAAATCCATGTATAGCTGAGAGAAATGTGTAAATGGTTGAACTTACTAAATGGTGACACTTCAGTTGACTGAACAAAAGTATTTCTAACAATATTCACTAAAATATAGTAGTGTTTGATAATATCCAGCTTCTTGTCAGTTGAAATGAGCACATTTGGAGCATCATGATGAGTATTTTTCTTTTGACAGAGTTGCGTATTTATGAAATGCAGTACATTTTGCACAGTGTGACAAAGGCCTTGCGACTTGAATGCGTCCTCTGCTGCAGCATCAGCAGTGAAAAATGGTTTCTGGAGTCACGACATTGTTGGAATTTGTTGCGGTTTCCTTGGAAATGTCAACAGTTGTGTGTTTTGGCAGTCAAATACAACTGAATAATGGCAGCAGCAGCAGCCGAAAATGACAGAACGAGACCAAAGAAAAGTAGCAATTGTCACCAAACAGGTTTGGACCCAAGTGCAGACACAAGTACAGGCAGAGTCAAATCAAGATTTAACAGTTTATTTTAAAAAATTAACAAAACTTAAATCAAGGAACCTACGCTGTAGGGGGTGGAACTAAATAGTAAGCAACCAAACATAAAGCAAAAAGGGGCAAAACTAGAACATCACTAAAAAAAAAAATAAATCACTAACTAAACTAACAGTGGGACAAATAATGAAATAAGAAATACAGAAGGCTGATGTTAGCTAACAAAACAGGGGTACCCACAAAAAACTACAAGGGGAAGGGCAGACCGGCTGTGGGGAGAGGGTCATGATCAGGCAGGACAGGTCAGGGCGACAGGGCCTTGGCAATCATAGGCTGTAGGCAGGACTGGATGGTGGACAGAAAACCGAGAAGCAGCTGGAGAATCCAAGGCAGTGTGGAGATTTTTCATGGCATGGCAGCTGAGAAGCAGTGGCTGGGAAACAAGTAACTGAGTCAATGATCTGGCAAAGATTAGAGGGATGAGCTGGGTTTTATGGAGCAGTGGTGATTAGATCCAGGTGAGACAATTCCAGCAGCTGTCACTGATGGAGCTGATGAGTACTGACGGGGAGAGAGAAGGAGAATAGGGAGAGAGCAAGAGAGGCGAGGGCTGGGGCCAAGGCTGGGCGGTCAGGACAGCGATACGTGGAAATCAACTTTTAATGTGGTGTGTAAAATTTCTAAAAACTTTTAACAAAAAGTAACAGCGCTGCAACCTGTTCAACACCTAAAATCACTACTCTACACAATGGAAACATATTTCTTGGGTTTTCAGTTGTATCAATCAATCAAGTGCCGTGCCATTCAGTGTAGGTCAGGGGTGTCCAATCCCGGTCCTCGAGGGCCACAGTCCTGCATGTTTTAGATGTTTCCTTCTTCCAACACACCTGATTCAAATGATCAGGATCGTTATCAGGCTTCTGCAGAGCTTGATGATGAGCTGATCATTTGAATCAGGTGTGTTGGAAGAGGGAAACATCTAACACATGCAGGATTGTGGCCCTCCAGGACCAGGATTGGACACCCCTGGTGTAGGTGATCATTTCTCTCCATCCAGTCCGATCTTTTGCTTTCTGAGTTGTGACTGTTCCATGTGTAGCCATGATGTTAGTCCGTTTATTATTTTCATTCCCTGTCTGCCTCGTCCTCGCTTCCCATTAATTTTTACACTTGCGATAATATATTCCAGGGTCTCTTTCCTTATGATGTGTCCAAAAAAATGTTGCTTGCCGTTTCCTAATTTTGTTTTCAATTGTATGCAAACTTTTTTTTTTTACAAAAAAGAAGCTACACTCCTTTACTATGATTGTCTCTCAGACATGGAGTTCCTCGAGGTGCTCACTGAGGGACTCAATCGGGTCCTCCTGGTGCGTGGAGGTGGACGTGAGGTCATCACCATCTACTCCTGAAGGGCTTCTGTGGTCTTTTAGCAGCACCTACACGAACTCTCCTCCCTCTCTGTTATTCCAGGAAAATCCTGCCACACCCGTCCTGACTGCAGGGTTTTCAGGTGACACGTAGAACCAGCTGTGTCTGTTACCTTTTAACCACTAGAATACAACATCCACACAGTCACCTCCCTGCTTTTGGCCTGTCGGTTGACGGTTTAACTACAAAACAAAAGACCTCAAAAAAAAAAAAAAAACTTGTTCTCAGTAAACAGAAGGTTTTTAAATATTTATTTTCTTTTTCTGATTTGTGAAATCCACTTTCTGCTGTTAGCTTTTATTTCTCCTGTTTTAGCTCCTGGTCATCTGTGAAAGAGGAATGTTCTTTGTCATTTATTTTCCATCACTGAGTGTAGTTGTTATTTATGTATTTATTCATCTAACATGGTTGTTTTTGTCTGTTCTCGTCTTTCATAGTACGGCTGGTAACACACAATACTAGAGTATTGTCAGAAAATAATGATTTATGTTGGGAAAATCTTGGATGAGGACCTTCCTACGTCAATGTGATACACTTATATTCATTCATTTGAGTAATTAAAAAGCCAAAGTGGGAGCTGTTGGTTAATATGTACAAAAACGTAGACAGATATCTGTAATCATTTGAGTGCCGTGAAGGTGTGATAATGAGAACAGTGGCTCGTTCTTGTTATGACGAGGATTTATCTGTTATTTATTCATCAGTGAAGACAGAAATTAAAATGTAAAGGAAATGATTTAACAGATTATTATGATCTTAAACCTGATTGTTTGACTTTATAACCTGCTGTTGGACAGGGATCACTTTAAATACTCCACATTCACTCATTATTACTTGTTATAAATCCTTTGGCAGCTGTGTGTCCCAGAGAGCTGTGGTGCTGGTTGATCACTGGGGTCTTGAGCAACTCTCATAATAAAACATTCAAAAGTAAATTGGAAAACTGAAAAAGATAAAGCCGATTTGGTGCATAGTTTCAAATAGCACATGAGATTTGCTTTTTATCTCTATACAGATGTTGTATACATCATGGGTGCTTCTCTTTTGAGTTTAGAAACTTTTTGTTAAACTTTGCTGACAAATGTTAAAATGTTTGTGATGTCAAACAGGGAAGAAAAACTTTAAAATGGCAAATTTAGTTCTTCTAGTACTACTGATTCTAATATAAAGTATTCAAGAGAAATGTATTAGATGGGAGGGTATTTTTTTTTACATTTCATTCTCCTGTTTGAACATTAATTATCTTTTTACATCTACTGATGCTATCAGAGATAATTAATGATATGGTGTTTCACACATCAACAGCACATCTCTTATCTCAGATATTTTTTAAATGGTGGGGTTCGGAAAATAGAGAAATGTAATTTATCTTAATAATTTTAAATATAATCTATTTTAAACGTGGTGAGTGTACAGAAAGGGAAAGTTTGGCATTTAGCGAAACAAACTCCTTGACATGGTTAATGTAAGAAGATTGATACCACTGAGTCCCAAATGCGCAGCTACAGGTGGGAGGTTATGAGTTTAGTTTACATGAAGACTGGAAACATGAGTCCTGTCCAAAGGTAACTAAAGTTTGTAGTCAGCCTGTCAAAAGCTCAGTGTGTCTCGTGTGTAGTTGATACAAAAGCACGTTTTAAAACAGCAATTAGCCACTTTATAGGCATTATGTGCCAGATTCTTTACTGGGAAGTAGAAACTTTCAGACTACAAAGAAACAATCTTGAACACAATTCAGCAGAATGCCGAAACAAACAACATATAACATGATATTATAACTTTAGTGGTTGGGAAATTTTCCTATCATTGGATACAGCTGTTTTCCAGCTGTTTTCGTGTTGCTATGAGAGTGGTATTGATTTTCTCATCTAATTGTCTGCAAGAAAACAACCAAGCACTTCCCACAATGTCAAACTATTGTTGTGAAATGTTGTCAAAATGTAAAATAATTTGCGAACACAGATGTGTAGATAATGCAGACCCACAAATGAAAGAAGATTCATATCACTTTTTTTTTTTTGCATGATTTATGCATTAAATCAGATGATCCTGTCTCTCAGACCTTTAGTGTTTGTGTGTGCAAATGCATATACAACGGATTCTTCACTTCTATTTGTGTATGGTTTACTCATTTTTCAACTTCTATGTCATAGACATATATTTGTCATAGTACCCTCACAGACTCAACCAATTCTGTAAACATTTCTTAGGTGAGACCAGTGCCCCAGAAATGTACATAGTTTATCATATCAGTATGGAAACAAAGCATTTAGGACGAATAGTTTATGAAATTTTTGTCCCATCACGTATGCATAGAGTAGCTTGATTTGTTTTTTCCCCTCCCTTGGCCTTTTTCTGCATCAGTTTCTAGTAAAAAAGAAGATTCTTAGCCTTGATTATCTTTTCCATAAAATCTTAGGATTTGTAAGTATTCAGATTTCCTTCTGACTTATTGTACACACAATGTTTTAATACTGTAGCATAGACACAGCCTCACCTCATCACAAACACGATGACATATGAGTAAATATCTGTACAGCCCTCAGTGTTTCCCTTATAACTCTGAAACGTGTGGGTGCAGAACAACAAACACTGGATTTACTTTTGAGTCATAAGATGATGGTGTCCGGCAGGTGAATATTATTAGTTATTAGTCTGCAGAAATTTAGAGTCACAGTTTATAAACTCCCTCAGTAGAGTGTGTGTGTGTGTGTGTTGTGATCACATGTTTGTATGCTGTGTGTTTGTGGGTGAACCTGCCACTTGTTTGACTGAGGACAGTGTGTGCTGAAGAGTGAGACACAGTGAAGACGGGACATTTGTAAATAGATCTGTGATTTTAGGTTTAGACATAACACGTGTAATGTGACACTACGGTTTTATAGATATGAAATAGGCAGTTTGTATTGTCTTTCAAATTGTTAAACAGACTTTATTTTACGTTCTACCATGTCTTATGCAATTATGTACGAGGAATGGTTGAAGAAACCATTTTGTATGTCAACACAAAATGCAATAAATTACAAATAATTTTAATACGACGATTGAAGCATTTGTCAGATCTTCTACCGTCTTTGCTTGTAGATGTGTTACTTGTGGTTTCTCACTCATCATTTTACACCTTCATACAGTGTCACTGCACAAATATTGCAAAGATGATTCACTTTACCATGACTGTAACTTCTGGTTTCAGCTCTGATATAAACCAGGTGTTTGAGTGTCTGTACCTTTAAATGCAGCTGACCCTGCCCCCTTCAGGAAGAAATCTATCGACAACAAATGTTACAACAGCTGGGCTGTGTTATGTCACACAAAGCTCTTAAGGATAAGTGGAGATCCTGATGATAATGAGTGTATTATTGATATAATAGACATGGATTGTTGTGTAAGACCTGGATTTTCTGTCACTTCTGACTTTGCCTCTGAACAATCATTTTACATGAAAAAACATAACTGAATTGACAGAAGAGCTGTAGTTTTTAACTCGTGTTTGTTGAGGCAACATTGTGATTATAAAATCAATACTTAACCAAAAAAAAGTCCTTAATACTTAATGACTTTTTTTGGGGGCTTAGGTGACAGGTATAGTTTTTTTATTATTATTTTTGAAGATTTTTGAAAATATTTTTTGGTCTTTTGCCTTTATTTTAGAGCAGTAGAGATAGGAAAGGGGGGAGAAGAATGGGGAGAGACCTGAAGCAAAGGTCGTAAGCAGGAGTCGAACCCACAACTGCTGCATCAGGGAAATATAGCCCCTGTTTATGGGTCACCCACTCAACTAGGTAAGCTATAGCAGCACCCTTGAAGATTTTATTTTTAAGATATAAAAAGAGGGGCATTTGGAGCCAAAAATATGTCAACTTGTCAGAACATTTATTTAACATAGTATAAAAGTCTATAATGAATACCAACAAATATTTTGCACGTATTCTTTCCTGAGGTCTAATGGACCCCGAAACACTTTCTACGTATGGCAACATAAAAGTCCTGAATAGGGTTAAGCTGTGCAGAGTTACAGCTTGGAAATGAAGACAAGAAGACAGGAGTACACTTTGTAATCTAATCCCCTGTTGCCTGCAAGAAGTTCAATTTGTCATCCCCTGCAGTGTACACCAGAGGGGAGGCATGGTCATCAACAGTGTCAGTTAGCACCGTGTCATCTTATACAGTTCTAGGAATATTAAACTTTGTTAACGAACACACATTTGTGGCAAATGGATAAATGATTTTAGCACTTAAATAAAAAATAGATTCTAGTGTCAGGTGCATATATGGTCTGTGTGACAAGTTGAATTTACAGACACTGTACGTGTTACATTGTGCAATAAAGAAACAACAAAAGGCTGGTACTTCAGAACTGCTGCATGTCTTATTACAACGGCTAAAGTCCACACAGGAGCATTTCTCTGGGAAGGACACATTGCTGTTTGTCTGAGAGAGAGCAGGTTTGACCAATGTCTTTGACCAGTCTTATCTTAACAGAGATAACCAAGACTGAAAAAGAAACGACTGTCATTTGCTCCAAAGAGCAGTCAACATGAAGACACAGGCCACCAGCCTTCGAGTGAGGTTACCTGCATTTGTGTTTGTCACAGAGGTGGTTTTTGTTGCCCTTTATGCTGCTTTTGTCACGTACGACGAGCATGCTGATGCCAGATTTCAGACCAATCAGACAAACCCCATGCACAATGCAATGTACAAGGACTACCCGTTCTTTGCAGACATACAGGTCATGATATTCCTCGGCTTCGGGTGCCTGCTGGCATTTTTTCGATTCTATGGCTTCGGAGGGATGGTTTTTAACTTCCTCACGGCTACTTTTGCCATCCAGTGGGCCATTCTGGTGCAGGGCTACTTCCAGTTCAACCATGACGGTAAGATCCACCTTGGAGTGATCAACCTCATAAATGCAGAGTTTGCCTGTGCCGTGGTGCTGATATCTTTTGGTGCAGTCCTGGGGAAGACCAGTCCGCTGCAGCTA